AGGTCACAAGGTCACGCGACTGACGTTGACCACACCACAATGCGAGTTGTAAAAGCAAAGTTGGTGTGCAATCGGCACCGCATGGTTGGATGATGTACTTCCAGCGCGTCGATGCACTCACTGACCACGAGTGTGAGACCACTTACGGAGGATGACATAGCAGTCGCGTAAAATGGAAGATCTGGAGAAGGCTGCCAGGCTCCCTCCTCGTGGTGGAGGTCACAGTGTTGAGGTGTTGGTGAGGTTTGTGGAGTTGCACTTTGGTGGAGGTCGTTGGAGCTGAGGCAAGGGTGGTGGACAAAGCATCACTGCGTTTGTGTGTATCTTGAGTCACCAAAGCACGAGACGTGGCGCACAGACATGGAATGTGGATCAGGTGGCATAGCTTTGAGATGAGAGTGGAAGGAGAGGGGGAGGCAGAGGCAGAGGAGGAGGAGGAGGAGGAGGAGGGAAGGAACTACGATTTGGGGCAGCTGGTGCATGGCCTGTGGAGTTGGTGTTGAGTGGAGTGATAAATTCCAGCATTGGCGGATGGACAAGAAAGTGAATGGAGAGTGGCGATTAACTTCATCTTCTTTTTGAAGTTCATTTTTGAAATCGTCTATAACAGAGCGGAACCCACATAAGCTGAATGGTGTCAATTCGTCTATTTTACAAGATTTAATCAAAGTTTTGAGATACTGAACAAGCATTTTTGTTTTCCCCCTTCTATTTATTTCAGCTAAACTGCCCCGAGTCAGTGATATAGAAATTGTGGAGAAGAATGCCGAACGAATTATAATCTCTTGGCGATCACCAGTGGGAGCCGAGGTTCCCATCTTTGTTGCCATCTCTTGTCTCAATTGTCAAAAAGATGAGGCTGTCTACGTGCCTGGAAACGTACTTACTGGGAATCGGTGAGTTCTTTTTCCTCTGTCATACACCGTGCGAAACTCCCGGAGGCGACTTCCTCATTGCAATCGTGACAAATAATTGTGAACAAAATAGGTTAACTTTCTTCGAATTTAAACACATCCGCCTTCTTTTTTTCAAGCTTATCGTGAACTATCGACACTGACTTTTTGTGACAAAAATGCAAACAAGTTAACTCGATTAACTATTGCAACTTCTTTTACTTAAACGGATGTTGGATGGAACAAATGAAGGGACACTGCAGTCTGCGTCTCTAGAAATGCTTCACAATCACCACCTTGCAGGAGACATTTGAATTGCCTGGCTTGACATGAACCACGAGTCTACGGTTTTGACCTCATCTTTGACACCCAAATGCAGTGTCCTTTGGTTGCTGTTTCCTGTGGGCTTTTCATTCAGTCATGCATTTAGCTGCGGCGTATACACTTCGAGGTGGACTTTACAATGCAATATTTGCCGACTTGGTGGTTGGCGTGTAGAAGCATGGAGAGGTGTAACGGAATGTACCACCCAAAAGTCCTTTTTAAGGTGATAAATCACCTTACAAGGGGGGAAGGGAGACAGTCTACCTTTTTTGAGAATAATGAATTATTGTGTGACACTGCTGATAAAATAAATATCGGCCGCGATCAAAGTGACCTTCAACGTGGAAGTCGTGAAAACCGTTAAGGCGATGCGTCCCACCCAAATGTCAGGTCCCAGCAGAAGACAATTTCGCTCTTCAGCATTCGCGCGTAGACTATTGCAGTGGTCCTCTTTACCGGTCCAATGGATGACTTGGGATGAGCACTACCCACTTAAGCCGCATTTTGGGGTCTCATGCCTTCTCGTGCCCAAAATACGCAACTCACACGCGTTTAGGTGTGCATGTGGGGGCAGACTTGGGCGAGGGGAGGGGAGGGGAGCCGAAAAATTGGGAGCTATCCCATCCACCTGCTTCCACTCGACTTCAAAAGTGTAGTAGAACAACTTTTTGCCAAAATTTAGGCAGTATTAGTAACTCCAAAGAGAGGATCTTGCATCCAACGTGGAACGGAATAAGAGCTGAGCTGCAGATTTCTATCCACCGGGCGATTGCAATCACCTTCTTCCTTGGTTTGCATATACAATTTCTTGACTGGCTTTGAGCATGCAGCTCTCTACTGATGTAATTATGGTTTTGTTGGGAGAGTTTAAAGGTTTTTTGGGCATTGGTGCTGACACTTTTACCACCAGCTGAATTATTAGGGATTGATAGGGCTTTTCAGCGTTAAAAAGCGTTTCCTCGCTTCTGCTTCGTCCCCTTTCGTGCTACTCCTAGGTAAGCAGTAGCTTTTGTGTGTGTTCCAGGGATGAATTTTATGGGTTTCAAGTCATTTCATCCTCAATTTAGCAAAACATTTTAAAAAATTTACTCGATTGTCTTACTACAAAATTTGTCTCGTTTTTTTCCCTCTCCACATGATTAATGACGCCTCAGTTGTTTTCGTCTCGCCACCACTCCCCTCCTTTGGCCACTATTAACACCTTTTATCAAACAATGCAATTTTGTCAACGTTGAGCAATGCGTATCTCCCCTAGCGAATGGATGAATACATGAGTCTCATTGTTTAAACAAAAACTCTTGTAGACATTTATGAGGGGCGCTGAAAAAGATGAGTAGTATGTGCTGCAGAATGATTCTCAACCAGCCGCGCTTTGGAATAAGGGGCATAATTAGAACTGGTACGAAATTTTTTAAAACGCAAGTTATTAAACAAATATTGTGCCTATTAGGAAGGGAAGTTGAGCTCAGGAATTTGTGCGTAGTTGTGGTGATGCTTATCAGGGCGAGTAAATGTTCCGACGATTGTAGTGGAGTCCCTACTGCGCTCTTTTAGAATCGCTTCAGCCATTACCACGAACTGATACGAGAGGTAATCCGACAAATCGGTCAGTAAGGGGAAAAAGTATACCCTGTGAGGCAATTTCCACCCAGGAATCCTATTCCTCACCTCCTATCATGCAACTTATGGCCTTGGGAGTCGCACTGACGAGCTAAAGGGACTACATGGTCAAGTTCGACTTGCAGGTCATCGCTTAGAAGCAAAAAAGGCAGATTCACACCAATTCTGCGCAATTTTAATCTTAGCTAATAGCTTGCTGTGATGATCCATGGGTAAAGTACAGACTTTTGGTCTGTTCGTGTCGAGTTCTTTAATTGTTGCCAAAAGTGAGCATCTTGAATGCCCTCCAAAACCTAAATCGTGCATTCGAGGAGAAGGACGAAACGAACGAGTAAAGAGCTTGGTAACAGCTCATTTTGATGAATTGAGAAGTATGTGTGATTTGACAACTGCTCACGTAAACACGAATTTTACAAATAATAATCTCCAAGCCTTCTAACCACAATGGCACAATGAGTTTGGAGTTTTGGAGGAGGTCGCTTTAACGTAGTCAGTAGTCATATCAGTGACATCCAAAGTGCGGATGTGAAAGTCTTTTTCCTTCTCCCCTTCGTCAGATTGGCATTCTGGGACAGATCAGTCTAATTAAAGGTGGACTTCTCACTTTGTTTTGTAGTGGTGATTAAGTGATGTAGAGCATGGAAGTAGACAATTTCGTTTAACCCACTTTCCTGTCCACGCGATATACATGGAAATGGTCGAATTTACTAATAAGTTTGAGTAGTATCTGCTTACCCTTTGGCCTTGCCTCAAAGACTCTCGTCGAGAGCTGAGAAAGATAGACGAGATGGTTTCGATTCTCAGTTTGCTTCCCATCTTGTTTGGAGCGCTGCTGTCCCAGCTACTCACAAAACACAGAAAACCACACAGGTATCTCATCTTTCGTGGGGGAGGAAGGATTTCAAAGATTTGATTTAAGGCAATAAAATAGTGGCTGTCTGTACAATTATCTCACCTGAACTTACTTTGTGGTCCTGATCCCGGTGAATTAGGAGTGACGTATGAGCTGAAACGCTGTTTCACTGCCAGAGTCTACTCACAGAATTTTGACAGTTTGGGGTCCTCTTAAAGTCCTTTCTAGTTCATTCAGAAAAACCGCTGAAGCTCATAGCAGGTTTGCAGGGACTAAAACAGGAGGCGTCTTTTGGTGACAAGAACTCTGACATGATTTTCTGACTCAGGAAAGGCGCCTGTTAAGTTGCCGTCTCCATGAGTCACACTTCCTCTCTTGTCTCCTTTTTGAAGTTTTTTCCTGATTTTCGAATTTTTATTGAACTTGTGAATAAAATTGTTTTCTCCTGCCTGCTTTTGGGATACCTTTATCACTCAACAGCATCGACACTTGTTCCAGAGGCAGTGACACCTTCCACACATCACACCTAAGCGTGCCTCTTAGAATAGCCTCATTCGCCGGCGACACGAATCCACTCCACGATACTGTGCGACTAGATGTGCCAAAGCCTTGCTTTCTTAGTCATTGAGAAGGCAAGCCCATTTTTGTGTGCACCCTCAACTTATTTATGACCCCTTCGTACAGTTGATGGGCGAACCAGCTATCCCACTGCCTCCAACACGAGTCTAATGCGATTGGTATGTGTTGTTCTGCGTCAACAATAGACTTTCCTTTGCAGGCTTCATGAAAAGGGAAGAGCCGAGTAAAGCAAAGGGTGGAGTTTGCCAGTCTGGCTAAGAGCTCATTTGATTGTCCATAAGGAAGTGTCAGAAAGTGAAAGATTTCATATCAAAGCAAAGGCATGACACAAGTCACATTTTTAACCTCAACTGCGCCATAAAATTTTTGTTTGTTTTTTGTCGCATTGGCAATAGGCGTAAGGGCTGAAAGCAGTAAAAATAGCATTGAATTGGAAGTTGTCAATCCAGTTTAACAAACATTTTAACTATTCATAGATTAGGTACAACAGAAAGGGAGAATTAATTTGCTTTATTGTGTGGTCAGGCTACTTAAATGTGCTACTTAAATGTCGCTTAAATCGACTCATTCGCTTTCGGTGGAGGTATTCACACGACTACCCTCCTCATATTTTATCAAAGTTGAGGCTTATTTTCACAATCCTCATATTTCGATCTTCCGTCTTGCTGCCTAACCAGATGAATTTGTGCGAAAGCAGATATAAGTAAAATACTTTTAAAAGGAAGGTCCATTTTGTTTGAAGTAGGCTGGAGATGGGGCATTTTCTAAGGTCTGCCGGTGGGTGAGGAGTGCCACTCCATCGCTTTCAAATAACACATTAAAAAGCTTAATTTACGCCCTTCTACTCATTTTGTGGTTTGCAAGGAAAACGACAAAAGGGGCTGGCAATAAATAGGAAAGGCTCCTAATAATCGCTCCATTGTTCTCTCACCTCATAGAAGGTGGTAAACTGCTTTCTTGGGACTATTGAAAGCCCTCGTCTTTTAATTGCTCCTCAAGCTTCTTAAATGAATGGGAAACACACTCAACTTGGGTGTGTAAACGGCTGTTTGTGGGGTGAGATTCGAAGCCGAATTGACTCCTTCCACTTATTCTACGCGCCTAGCTAAAATTAGCACGAAGCAGTAAGTTATAAAGTGAAATTTTTTATGAAATGATGAATGGTTTTTAAACGCCCTACTCAAAGTTGTGACGAGATTTTGCCAGCAAGAGCAGAAAAAAGGAAGGTGGGAGATGCGAACTGGTGATACTCGCGTTGGGGGTTGGAGCAATGTCGCAAGGCCGCAGTGCCGAACGAATGAGGAAATCGTTTGTTTGTAGACAATCAAAGAAGTCTCCCTTAAGTGGTGCATCCAACATTTTCCTTTGGGTCTGCAACACTCTATTCTTGGTCAAGAAGCAATATGTCTGCATGTTTTAGGATCTGCTGCCTTGTCACCTGAAACTTGGCTTCTCGTAGAACTCAACGTTGAAGTACCTGTTTGAGTGGAATGGAATTTTGAATGACCTTCTCCACCATAATGCGATTCGCCACTGTTTTTTTGGCTCGCATTGCTTCTGGTTTTAAATCCACTGGACAATAGCACAAACTTGTCCAGTTTAATCAAGTCTCTCCCTCCCACCACAACCTCCACCACCAGCGTGGAACACTTCTGTGCTCTCAGCAAAGACCCTACGGAGCAGTAGAACTATAAAGTGTGCAATTGACATCAAACTAAGGGAATGAGTGGGCTGTGTTCACTCAAATTTGCACCAAACAAAGAGTTAAGCCACCTTCCACCTTTTAAAGGCGGCACATAATTTTATCAGACGCCAATTTGATTGACAGGATGAAAAACGTGATTGCCGATTGTAAAATTTGGCCTTGCAACTTCCAAAGGGCTCACACAGTTATTTTGTCAGCACCGTTAGGCACAGATTTGGCTTCGTAAGGAAAGAGCGCTTGTAAAAGTGACCAGAGGAGTACATTATTAGCAGACATAAAGTGAGCACAAAAATGTCAGTTAACAATTAATAAGAGTGCCATTATAAGGTCAGGTCTTAATGGGAGAGAGTTGAGGGTCGCAACCACCATCAATCAAGAGGCTGTGGGTGACGGTGGCAGCACTTTCACATCCCCATCGGACACCCCACGGCGTAGGGACTGCCTGATTGGGCCCTTTATCGTATTATTTTTTTCCTCTTTTTCTCTTTTAGGGTGACCATTCTCGGATTGCAGGTGGATAGGACGTACACTTTTGCATTCCGCTCGTGTCTGCAAAAGGATATGATTCCTGACTCCTGTGATGTCAGAGCTGTTCATGTCACCGTTAAACAGGGCCTATGTAAGTCACCGCTCCTTCTCCAGCTCCTTTATTTCCTTTTTTTTGCTATGACTTCCTGTTTCTTAACATAGCTGAGTGTAATCGAGCAGTGTGCGAGTCAGTCGATCTAGATGGTCGTAACTTCTATCAACTGCACGCTACCTGATCACTTTTTATGCCCACCACAAACCTTTAATTGTACAGATGAAGTGGTGAGAGGGAGAGTGCCTTCCAGAGGCTTAACGTATGCAGTTGGGGATTGTGGACAGTCAACTAGTGGGACAGTAAAGTAAAAATTCGAGGAACTCCTGTCCTCCCCGTGAAAAGTTCGCAATTTTCTCTTTGAAAGCATCACCACTTTGTAAGACGCATGAAGATGAGCTGAAAATTGTACAATACAAGTGTGCATCCACTCTTTGTCAGCGAAACATCCTACTGCAACATGACGACAGTAACTACAATCGGTTGGGAAATTGCATACTCGTTTGGGCAAATAAACTGGAATTTCTGCCCCACCGCCTTTATTGCAGCTTAAATACAATGTGAAAGGCAGGATTTCACTATTTTCTGTGTCCAGAAGAGCTAGACGGCTACTGACACGAACGGATTCATCGCCACCGAGCGGCGAGACCACCAGAGGGACCAAAACTGCTTGTGCAGGCGAAGGAGTCACCGAAACATTTGTGTGTCTGTGGAACATCGGACAGAACTGTGAACTGAAGGTGGTCATCTGTGATTGAAATAAGAGCATCGTCAACTGCTGAGTCTAGGAACAGCTTTTGGCTCTCAGTCATCGCAAGAGTGGGAACGAACTTTCCTACTGGTGAGGAGCGTGAAGACCTCAGGTTGCTAAATATGCATTTCGATTGTCGCATTTGAGCACCGCGTTCAACTCTTAAAGGGCTTATTGGCCTCTTTTAATCTGGCACAACACTTACCAGTCAATTGGGAGGTGGTCGCACCCTCTCAGTAACCAGTGTGGTTCTCAAAATCTCCCCTTTCTAAATGAAAATGCACTCCTCTGTCCGTGCGACTGAGGGTTGCTGACCTCCACCGCCGTCTTAAGCGTTTGATGTGTGTGATAAGGCGTCCTTTGGTTCTGCACTTGTGTCCGTGGCGCGTCCATGCCGTGGCAACAGAAGGAAGCATAAACACCTGCATCAAAGAAGTTAATTTTTTTCCTTGCAAGCAGTTAAGGCGATAGGAGGCGATAAAATGTTCTGCAGCAGATCGACTGCATGGGAGTCACAATATGAAAGTGAGCAAATTCATTCACACGATCTGCTCACACGAATGGTCTCTCGAAGAACGGCCTGCCATCTTGTATCCACGGTGGCTCGAATCGAACGTAGAATCCACAGAACCCGCATCATGCGTCTTTACTGTAAACACGAGGCGACGGTCATTGGCGAGAAGTTGCGATGCATTCCATTCCACAGGGCAAGTTTTGTGGTGTCCATTTTACCTTGTGATTTAGGAGGCCAGCTTTTGCGGACTATCCACAAGGGTCCTCTAAGGAGCGTCCCTGTGGAGCATTGATAAGTCAACACCTCAAAAGCGGTCAAAAAGAATAGTCCAACTTTTCAAATCCACACACTGAACCATGCGAAAAACACACCGTCCTGTCTTCAGAGTCAGAAGGAAGTAGCAAATGCTGTGGTTTGAGATAAATAATTGTACATTTCTTAAATTGTTAATGTCTTCAAAAAAATATCGCACCTTCTTGCTACTCACTCAGCAAGAAAGGTTTGGAGGTGTTTGGAAAAGGGGCAAATAAAGCGAAACAAAATGAATGGTCACTTACGCTCGTAACTAAGAGGCATTCTCCATCTACCTCAGTCGTCGCCTTCTTCTCTCACACTTTTTGTCAGTAAAATGATTTTTTAAAGAAATACTTGCATCGCACTGATTAAGTGATGATATGAAAGTTTACCTGCAACGAGGGCGGCGAGAAGAGTGTCCACTTCAACAGGGATATCGCCTGAAAGAGTGCACGAAATGCTGTCCCAATCATCCCCAGCCCATGTAAGTTTGTGAAACAATGGAGAGCTGTATAAAATGTGGAAATCAAGAAAACTGGGTAGTAGAGGTTTGGAGTCCGCAATTGCACAATGTTGGGTGCAATCAGCCCACCAAACTCTCCTAAATGCCACTTCACCTTCACCAAAATGAACTCGCGGACTTTTCTGGAAAACCATCCTAATGCTAATCTTTTATACCAATTTCTGCTCTTGCCTTACTAGGGACCTGTGATCTTTTACATTTTGTAAAAATTTTGTACAATCCTTTCTCGACACACACTGAAATTGCCAACATTGGGGTAGACAGGGAGGAGCCTATTGCTACCTCAAACATATCCGTAATTCCTCTTTTGTTCCGTTCAAAGATCCCTTGGTGAGAAGGCCATCGCAGCGAGATCATCTCCGTCAGAATTCCACTGACTTTACCGATGGCAGTGGCGGCGGTGGTGGTGGTAGTGGCGATGCTGATGGGGACGATGATGAGGAAGTTGCCTCCGTTGTGACTGTGTTTCATATCCTCCTCGGAATAGCTATCTTTGTCTGCATGGCCCTCCTATTCATCTTTGGCACTGTAGTGCTGCATCGGTAAGTTAAACACTGGTCTTTCCATCACCGCATACTCTTATTTTCGTTTAAAATTAACGAAGCAGCCGTTTTATCGTCTATCAAATGCTTAACGCGGGATTGCCGCCTTTTGTCCCTCCTCCCCCTTCCACATCGCATCTAAACATAAAGTCACACTTTTAACTTGCTGCCATCAAATTCGTTTTGAACGGGCGAAATGATGAGGTGGATCCTAAACGACCATTGTCGGAATGCCTATCAAGTTCATGAATTGAGCCTGGCGGTATTTGAGTGACATTCAAAATATCCCTCCCCCGCCCCAAAACTGATGAAATACAGCCAAAAATTTGTCACCTATTTTGAGCGTCTCTGTTTCAGATAACATAATGGACTCTTTCAGTGCTCACTTCTAAGTTAATTTAGGGTCGACATGCTACTGAAATGCTCTTCAGTAGCTGCATCCATTAAAGTTGATGAAATATCATAAATTGCTAACTGTATTAACTACTTTTAGATTCAACTTAATTCATTTAAAAATGATCGATATGAACATCTATTATGGTTCTTATTACGCCTTTTATGATAAGGAGGTGTCGAAAAACAGTTGTCCAGTAGTTAGAGGGATGGAGGAAGGACTAATAGTCACTTAGTCCTTGACTTTTATGTCGAATTTTTGTTTTTTGTTCGTGTATGTTCTTCATTTGAAGCCATTTAGCACATAAAATGGAGAGGCGGGACCGTGGAAGAGGTTAATTGCCCCATACTGGGTCTTGCACGACAGTGAGTATAGGTTGAAAAAAGTAGTCATTGCAAGGTGTAAGGTTCGCTATCAGGTAGAGAAATGTGGGGATAGAACTTTCTACTTTCCAACGCTTGACTTTTGATCCTTGACGAACTAATGGGAGTAGCGTTATTTACTACTAGACAGTCTATTTACAGTCTCATTCTCACTGGGTTAGCAAATCCTGGCCTTTTCGGTGTGTGTGTGCGTTTAATAGTGTGACAAGAAGAAGGCGTTGCTCTCATGGCTTTTAATGGCGTAGCAGTGGAAGATGGGTTTGGAATGTGTGCCAACTTCATGGACAAGAATGCCGATTAGTGATGCCACATGCCATTTTCAAGTACCATGACAAGCCTTCTGCAGTTATTTGTGAGGAAAGGACACAAAATGCTTCGCGCCACTGTGAAGTATTGGTAACATTTGATGAGCCTCAGTGACATTCAGTCCTTCATTGCACGATGCGTATCAAAAGGAGGATGACACCCATCATGTGAGGCCTCCAAGTGGCTCCTTCTACAAAGGAGTCTATAAAACAAAAGAGACATTCTACAAATGACAAACTGCGCAGTTGAATGTCCGGTCATAATTATTTGATAAACAATGAGCAAATGCGCACGCCCTTGGTCTGTATTTGCTATTCTTCAAAACCTCGGAGTCTCATATGTCTGTCGCCATCTTCAACCGCTTTCAACTCACTCTGGAGAGACTTTTTAAATGAAGCATCCTAATGTAAATGCGAATTTTGGTGAATAGCGAGGAAGCAAGGGGAAGGAGACAAGGAGAAATAGTGAATAAGTGATCTTAATCAGTTGGTCGAACAACTGTGGAGGTTCATCAAGCTGGTCTTGCTGACTGGAGTACATCTGGAACTCCTACAATACCCAATGAAGGAGTCAAGGGACAAACAGAATAACATTTTAGCTGATGAGTTAAAAATTACTTTTCTCCCCTCGGTAGGTGATGAGGTGTTCCCATACCAAGACTCCTCCCATGCAAGTAAAAACGGTTGATTGAAAGTGACATTCAAGTGCTGATTTACCTTAAAAAAGTTACACTATTTTAACGAAAGCATGAAGTACCTTTAGCTGTTGGTTGCTTTGGGGAAAATGTGGAATAGCGGGTGAAGAAGTTGGACAGGTTGAAGGGTAATGAGTAAATGGAATTCTGTACGAGAGGATGAAAAATTAAAGCGAAAAAATAGGCGGATCCATGATGGAGGAAGGAGAAGAAGAAAAAGGGGAAGTGGATGGACGATGGGGATGAACAGCCTAACATGACCCGCAAATTTTACATTCCGTGCCATGTAATTTGCCCATTCTGTAGCCAATCAAAATGCCTCAATCCAACCTCTTAACCAATCATTTCCTTGTTTACCTGTAAATCAAATTGCAATTCGCAGACTGTCATCACCGTCTAAAACAACTGGTGGAGCACATCAAACAAGCATTTAAGCAAAAAATATTCCATGAATAAAACCAATGGAAAAATTTACCCAGTTTAGGCGAGAACAACATCTTTAGCAAAAAAACCCTTTCTCAGAACCTTCCAGTGGCTTAGTTACTTACTTTGATGAGCGACATGTTTAAAAGAAAGTGATTGTGCTCTACTTTGCCATTGCGAAGCAAAGCCTTATAACTTTCAAGGTTATGCTAAGGCGATTAATGAAACCAGGCACAAAATCAGAATCCATTTGTCCTTGTGTGGGGGCCTTGCTCGTTTATTGATATCACTGAAGTCGCCCTATGTCACCGATCTCACCGAGTTCACTCCCTCTTCAGCCGTATTCGCCCCTGGGGAGGAAGTAATAAGACTGAAGGGTACTACTGCTCTGTACGGGAGGGGCTGAAGCTACTTGTTACTTCGTCCTCTGCGGTCTTTACTATTTACCAACATGCCTGAAGGAGGTGTAGGCTTGTGGAGGAGGCAAAAACTTGCAAAGTAGGCTGTAGTGACTATCAATAACTCCCAAGCAAAGGGTCTTTAGGCCATCATCAATGCGAGACGCATTACTCGCCACCATCACCACTACCACAGACGGTTTGTTAAAACACTTACAACCCCCTGAAAGGTTGCCCCCACTCAAACTTCAAACGTGGTCAAGATGCTCATATTTTTACCATTTGGCAAGGTTTTTGAAGTTAGTTGAGCCAAAAGACATCTGAGTAATGCACCAGCATGTCACTGCTCATTTACCTGATTCCTTTTTGCTTGAATTATATGAAATTTACGTTGGCCATTTTAATCCTGCAGGTATTACAAAGGTCGGCCGCACAAGAGACTCTACGGACTTGTCAACAATGCCGAGCAACCAGGTGAACACCTGACCGCAGCTCTAACCAAAGCCTCTTGCCTTTCAAACCAATGAGGTGCATTGATGGACAATCATTTAATCACGTGAGGTGAAGAGAAAATGAGGGAAGAGGAAGAGGATAAAGGAAAAGGCTGTCGAAACCGCCTTTCGCCTATAATTATGTCCACTTTGCTTGGGAGATCGTCTTCCACGATTCATCCTTTCCCTTGGTTTCCCCTCAACACACTGGAGCTCCTCTCCCTGCGAGTTAAACACCAACACAATTCTTCCCTTTGACACCACAGTAGCAAAACGCGAGTCATTTTATAAAGCTCTATTAAGGGAAGGAAAAGATGTTTGTATTTCCTTTCCCCTTCTTCCCCTGATGCGGTGGAGAGATGTAACGCAAGAAAGATCTTAAAGTTGCACACGATTTTGTCATAACTAAGAGGTCATTTCCTCCTTAAGTGTCTTTGTTTAATGATTTTAGTGAGTGGAATGAACACCACGGCGATGGAGTATCGAAACGCCATCTTTCTGGCCGGACAAACGATTTATCGTCAACTTCCCACCATTCTCCCCACCTCTATTGAAATGAAGAAGCCGCTGGGCAAATGTGAGTGCCTTTTCTATACCCTCTTCATCTCCACAGCCCCCTTTCATTCATGCCTCCTTCTCCTCCTCTTTACTTAGTTTATTGCCTAGCAGTTGTTTATGTGTTTGGACTGATGAGTCAAAAGTAAGACCCATGCGAACAAAAGGTGGACACAAAAAAATGCGGTTCAATTTTTTGCTAAAATTTACCACTCCTTTTACATCCTCAGCTTTCGCCTCATAATGGGGCAACTCATGCGCCTCACGTCAATTTAGAGTACTTCGCTGATCATATCGACAGCCTCGTCTGCTCTGCGAATGGCAGCGCTTCTCCTCTCTCAGTTTATAGTTTTTTGTCGGGAGGTCGATTAAGTGGGCTGAGCGTACAGATAACTGCTCGTTCCCTCCTCCTCCTCCTCCTCCTCCTCCTCCTCCTTTTACTCCTCCGTCATGCATTATTGCAGGTTTTGGTGCAAGCGATGGAGCAGTTGCATTACAACTGGTCTTTGAAATACACACGTCTCCCAGCCTCGTCTTAACCTCGACACCACAACCTTCTTAACCAGTACACTACTGACTCCGCCCACCTTCCATCCGAATTCGCTGTTTCTCTCTTTTTCGCCTCGCTGGAAGCGAGGATCCATCCGACTGAATGCCTTACTGGGGCCAGTCAATGAACCCATCAAAGAGTAGTTTACGCCAAAATGTCTTTAAGTCATCCATTTATAAGTAACACCTCTCGGGGGTTTTACAAGTGAACGACTGACCTTTCCAATGCGTACATTGCTTTCGATACCACTACTACTACCACGGTGCACGGACTGTCAAGTTTTCTACATCACCTTTGACAGCTTTAAAGAAGAGCAGCTTTCCTTCATTTCATGTTTGATTCACCATTCGGAGATCACTTGGAACTTTCTCTTCCAACCCCTTCATTGCTGTATGAATCACTCCCTCTAGGAGCTCAGACCCAACGTAACTCCCTCTTCCACCGACAGAATTAGATGCTTAACACCAAATCACATGTTTAGGGTCTTCTTCTTTCTCTTTTCATTCGTCAAGGTCGTCATGGAGAGACGTTTTTGGGACTGCTGAAACCATTGCCTCCTTCCGTGGAGAATAGCGTACTATCAGCGAGAAAAATCTTTCTTCGTCCTGCCACACCCAACGCTGCTGTCAAAGTCGCTGAAATTGCCGCTAGCATTCGACATCCACGAGTTGTCTTTTGCCATGGAGTTCTCAAGGCTGTTCAGCCGCACCACCTCCTCGTCTATGACTTCATGGCCCTGGGCAGACTTGACAGGTTCCTAATTTCGGTATGTCGGTGCTGTCTCCTCCAAAATTTCAACTTTACCGGCTCACAGCCACTGTTTACATGTAGAATAAGGTCTTAAAAACTTTTAAGCAATCCCTTTTGCTATTTTTCGTCTCAAGCAAGACGCATCTCAAATTACTTTTCTTTGTAAGTAGTATGTATCGACCATAGTATTTTAAAAAAATTTAGGAAATAGGACGATTCGATGGCGGTGAGGAGCATGGGAAGAGTCAAAATTGGCCACGTTCTCCATTGCTTTCTACAAAGATGGTCTTTCACATGCTTCATCAAATCGCTTCCGCTTTCGCCTTCCTCGTCTCCCTCTCCATTGACAACTTGGTAGGTCCCGTTCTCACAATCGACCTACAGAGTTTTAGTGAGCCACGTCGGTTGATGCATGATCTGCTTCCCCTCTAGTCTGTTTAGAAAACCATCACCTTCGTTAATGGCGATGATGGGAACAAGTTAGTACTCTTGCTCCTGTTTTTTGTAGCGTTTGGATTCCTCCAGTGTCTTGGTAGCCTCCGATTACACTTGCAAGGTGCAACTCAAGACGTGGCCTCCTGAAATCACGTCAAAGAGCAACGGATGTGCAATTGGAGGTGTCGATATGATTTGTCGAAGTCTTGCGGAGTTCATGGATCTTGGACCATCGTCACCTCGCGCCAAGGTCTACATCATTCAAGACGGTCAGCATATACTCCTTCCTAGGATTCTGGTACGTTTGAGTGGACTTTTACCTTCCCTTATACGCGTCCGCTCTCCAAATAGTTTTGCATGGAACATAATGTGTGCAGAAACCGTCCACAGAATCTTCGCCCAGCGTGCTTTTCGACTCGATCATTCAGCACCTCAAATCATCGGGGCCCGAAGATCCTCCACCCAACAGCTCTATGGTGATGTCGCCCTCATCAGTGGTAAAAAATTTGGGCTGGCTGCAGGTAGAAATGCTCCTGGCATCGGTCTTGTGTCAGCGGTGTTTGCTTCGCGACTCAGCAACGCCCTCTTCCAATGTGTCGGAGAAAATGGGACACATTTTGAGTCACTTAGAATGGAGCGAGGCTCTACGATTGCGAGAAAACATAATAACATTGCTAGCACGATGGTTCGGCAACGATTTTCTCGGGTGCATGTTGAGAAGTTGTGTGCACCCAGAGGCGTCACGGAGACCTGGGCTGATGGAGGTGGTAAACCACCTACACAACTACCTCACAGATGGAGGCATCCAAAACCAAGAGAGCAAAACTACTGCTGTCATTCACAGGGACGGCATGATTTCTCTGTGAGTCGCAATGTCTTTTACTGCTTCCATAGTGCTATTTGTATAGACTCACTAGGGACCGGTTTCAACCCGTACCACGCCTTAGCACTTGCAACAGTTTTGTGTAGAACACAATTCCTTTCTCTATCGAGCTTATTCATCGTTTTTACGATTTACCGCAGTGCTTCTCATTGTTACTTTCCTGCTTTGAAAGTGAGTGCCGCCTAAGCAGCACACTTATTACAACAGCTTGATTTTTTCCCTCATCCTGCCGACTCAAGTACTGATGAAACTGCTGCCTCTTAAGTAGTATCCGATAATTTTGAGTTAATTCTACAAAGCGACATAGGGAAATAGGAAAACTATCAATCACAACGTTAGGAACAAAGTTGACGCCATATTTACCAAAAAATCACAAACTCGGAGACACATTCTTCCTCTTTTCATTTGAAAAAACATTTGTTGATAATAAAACACGGATTCGATCTTTTTAACTTCTAGACCACTAATCGCTGCAGTGGAGGAAGCCTCAACCCACACCACACCAGCCAAATGGAATAATCTTCATTTATCTCCATCCTCTTGTGCAGAGGTCAATTCTTTCTACACTTCCGATACTGTATAGAGACCCAAAGATGCGTTCTCATGTACATAGGAGACCCTTTGTCTATGCGAAAAGTAATAAACTCGCGTCCACATTTCTTCCCTCAACTCCTCTCACGTTTCCTCTTGAAGTCAAGTCGCTGCTTCATTTCAGATTAACATTGAGCCCCTGCGATGTACAAGTTAAGAGGGCATTTTAGTCACTTAGACCCGCCATTGATGATCCACGATGGCTAACGAATGTCAGAAATCATTAACTGGCGTGAAACGCTAGTTTTATGCATGTAGGTTTAGTGAGGTTGGAAATCTGATGCTAACAAAACGAACCCATTCATCTCCACTCCTGGTGCTACCACCACCACTACCACCAGGCGAGAAAAACGGATCGCACACCTCAAATTACAAGTACGTGTTTGTGTGTTTAATTGAATTGGCACCAGAAGGTCGACCTAGGCTCACCATTCTTTGCAGGGAGCGTTGGCCAGCAAGACAAAGTGGCATGCATATACAACTTTTCGGGGGGACCATTTGTTGGGAAAGGTACCAAAAGTTGCCACACAGTACATTCATCTAGTCTGAGAGTAATCGCCACAATGGAATGCCTTCTCAAGTCACCGGGTAGTTGAGGTACATTGCGAAGTGCACCCACTCAGTGTCATTAAAAACCACAACCGGTTGGATGCGATTTACCAGGGAATTTCATTGCGAATTGGCCACAACTCGTCTCCTCTAGTCAGTGCATCATCATTCCACCACTCGATGACCAATGCGTCCACGGCAATGATAAAGGAGGAGGGGTCCGTGCGCAGTGCTCTTCTCCGCCAATGCTTCCATGCTCATCTAACAAAAGTCGCAACCCATTAGTGAGAAGGGTGATGAGTGTGCAGCTGCAAAGTTCAATCTCTTCTAAAAAATGCGGATCTTATTCACCACAACTAAATGCACGTCTTTTTCATCAAGTGACCTTATCGATGGAAAGGTAGAAATAAGTATGAATAAATAAAATTGACAAACAAGGAACGAGCACGAAGTACTTGGTACAGATAAGATCCTTCTCAAGTAATTAGACCTCAGTAATCAAAACGCCTCACTAATTTATCGAGATGGCGAACCGGCAATGCCCACTCGATGGCTGTGTTGTGCATCGAGTCAATTTGCAAAATAAGTCCCAAAAATAACTACAGTTTCACTCCCAGGCATCTATCACTATAACAAAATGTACAAATGCAGTGGGTAATCAACTGTGAGCGGGTAAACAACAATTCAGCTGCTGGTACCCTCCTCTTTGACACAGAGACCCTATTAATTGAGATGTATCGCCATTTGCACTGCAACCTATGCATCAAATAATGCAAACATCTGAGAAACTGAAAAGGGAACAGGGTACAGTAACCACGCTGGCCAGTGTGAGGATGGGGAAAGGGGGAGTCTACGCACCCACCAAGCGCGGGACTCGTATTGTCTTCCGCCTCTCCTCACAAAGGACAATGTAAACTACCAATATGCCTTACAGTGCATTTTTGTCATTTTTTGTCTCACAGCAAAGGAACAGAAGTGCTGGTACTCTCTTCTTGGGCGCAGAGGCCCTATTAATTGAGATGTATCACCATTTGCACCAAGTAATATAATCAACCCTAACTAGTCGCTGGGGTTATGAGGAATGAAAATGGAAAGCCAATATGTAAAGTGGTTGGAAAGCAACGATTCTAGGAGGAACTAAAAATGTTTTTAGGAAAAGGACAAATAGTTTCAGGTAGATACAATGACCACTTATTGGTGAGCGAATGCCTTCCAAGCTGCAAGGCTAAAACTCTTCTTAAAACGAGATCTCTACTATTCTAAATACGCAGGAGCTCAAGCAACCAGCCACTTCACAAGCTGGCAACACAAATTCGCCCAATTGCCAAACTTTTAGTGTGCCGGAAGAATAGCTGTGACTAGAAAATTGAGTAGTAAAGCACACCTCAACAGTAATTGCAGTGCTTCCACATATGCGGCTACTGACCTGATAAAGAGGCGCCCAACGCAGCTAAATTTTTTCCCAAGATGCAGAATTAAGGAAATGATTTGAAGTCCACAAAATACTAATAATAAGGCCTTCCCAACCACCAGAACAATGCTTAAGGTGTACTAATATACTGTACTGGGTAGTAAAAGTAAAAGTAGTTGTATCTGCATTTTCTTCTGCAAAAACGGAAAAAATGAGATCGACTTAATGTCAAAAAAATAAAACCAGCTTATTTTACACTCAGAAGATTCGCTAACTCCCAACTGTTTTAAAGGTTGTCAGAACTATTAAGACGAAACCGTGCCAAGAAGCATACCTCTCACAACCATTTGACTCATTTAAACGACAAGCTAGGGGTCGCACAGATAAATGCACTCAAAAAGGAATTGCTGCATAAAAATGATTCTGTGCTGAATTCATGTAAATTTTATGAGTAAGTTTATGTTTATAGAGAATAATGACGCAGGATAAGTTGTATTATACAGAAAGAATTGTATAACCTGCCATCGAATTCGGTCATATCTTTTAGTTATTAAATTTGGCTCTCTGCACCAAAGAAGCCGCTCATTGCATAGCGCATCTTTGCGAACATAAGTCTGAGCACTTTTGTTTTTTCTTACACACACGAAATTGGGTAAAGCTACTATCATTTACGGGCGAAAGGTGTTTAAAAGTGCTGCCATTATCCACGTACAGCCTGCCTGCCTACTCTCATGCTCTCAAACATAGAACTTTAATAGAGGGTCATTGGCAGCAGCTTTATTAGGCATCGTATTAAAAAAGAACGGAAGTGGGGGAGATAGATGGGCGGAAAGCATATATCACCAGGGGGAGGAATTCTCATGATCCTCACTCACCGGAATCGTCTTCGAATTGAATTCTCGCCTTTCCTCTATGAAAGCTAACCCAAACACACTATTGTACATTACAGTCTATGGTATCAGATTCTTTACTATCTGTTAATGCATGGGTGGATGGGTGGGGAAGTGAGTGATTATGGTGACAATATTAACTTGATGTAAGCCAGTAGGTGAGTTAGAAGTTATCGAATTCGCTACCATTTGGATCTGGAATCCATGACTTGTGCAATGTTTCCATAAATTTAAGTGAAATGCTCACTCAGTTTGTAAAAATGGGTGTACATGAACTTTCGGCATTTTCATGCACTGGCGTAATCAGCCGAATTGCAAATGGATAAAATCGGGCTCTAGCACCTTGACACTTCCCAATAGGTAGAGGGGGAACTTAGCTGTGTAGCGCGTTCATCTCCACATCCCTCGTCTTTCATCTCAGCCTTCTTGAAAGCAAAGCTTTTTTAAGATTATTTATCAAGCATTTCTAGGTGTGCTTAAGGCCATCGCACTCCATTTGAACGGCGTCTGTAAGATTTTGTGCCTCTCCTCTACTCCGTATTGGACGGACCCTCTCCCAAGGCGTCCATCAGGTTTGCTGGGTAGATCTCTTCGTAACTAGGACGAAGTAGTTCGTAGGTGACGGAGCCTTGACTAGCCAGTAGATTACCTTACTTCAGGAGCATTAGAAGATCCTCTGGGTTCCTCGTCTTTGAAGGTATTGGTACAGCTTTTGCTGAGCGTAGTTCTTCCTGAACTGTATCCGTGCGGTGCTAAACATCTTCCTACGACCTTCCTTCAATTGTAAGATATTGGGGAGCGTTATCTGTCAAGGTTTACCTACTGGCAGGAGATATTTCAGAAGGAAACCTCAAATCGTCACCCGCAAACATCTTTAATTGCCTGCAGAGATTCTGCTTCAGCAGTTGATCATCACTAAGACGCAGCTACTTTCTCTTTCATTCGTTGGAATTGAGCTGCTGCTGTCCATGCCTACTGTCATTCTTGGAATGCTCTTGTAAGCATAGGCTGAAGAGGTGAGGCAGCGATGCAGTCAAGACCCTAAAAGTTGGTACATGTGTGCATATACAACAAAAACCTGAGACATCAGAACTAAGCAAAGGCCACCAATGTCTTTTTCTCACCGCTTCTACCATATTCTTTTCCCCACCTATCGCATTGACTCACGTAATTCCAGGACAGCCGTTGGTGTTAGTGAGACTGGAACTACGAGGCGTTTGGGACTCGCTGTATTACATCACGCCATTTTCTAGTCGGCATTGCCCCAAGCTCTGTCTTGCTTGCCGATCTCATCTCCCTAGCATTGAACTTAACTAAGGCTGTCCGTGGCCTCGCATTTGTAAAGATTGTGCTGCGATCAGCACTCTGCGAGTTGTTCGAGTGTTGACCAGTTGGCCCGCTCAGCGGAAACGCACCTACTGTAAAGCCATCTGCAAACATGGGGGAAGATATTCGTGATAGGTCATCTGTGTTGCCGCGGGAGCTTCTTTTCGTATGCTGCACCACGAAGTCCCACTGTTTAAGTTCCTCATAACACCGGACAACTGAGCAGTGAATTTCCTTCGTCCTCTTCAACCATGTTAAAAACTGGAGGTCCGTCCGCAGTGGGATCTGTTTGCTCATAATGTAGTGCTTGAAATGCCTAAACATGGTACAGGCAGTGAACAATTCTAGTTCCGTGGAACTCTTCTATCCCATCCTTTTGCTTTGATGCGAGCTGGCGTACGCAATGACGCTTTCGCCCGTCTTTGCCTTTTGGAAGCGAACTCCAAATACCGCTATTTCGCTTTCGTCCGTGTCCAACGCAAAGGTGAATCATTGACTTGGGAGTTAAACGCCTCACAGTGTTACTTAACCTCCTCATATTCCCATCAAAATTTGTATTTTCCAATTCTTTTCTCATCGGCTTGAGTAGCAAATCTGCAATATTGGCGAGACCCTTGGCAAGAGTTCGCCAGGTTCTTACTTGTTCTGTCCGGTCCTTTGTGACTGTTAGTCCCTTTGTCTCGAGAAGGTGAATAAGCTCAGGAGAAAACAGCACTCCTTATGCTTAACGTCAGGCCGATCTCTCGAGGATATTGAAAGGTCGGATGGATGGGGTTGTGCTGCTGGGCAATGTTACCAAAAACGTTGACATCACCAGTGTAGATGATGCAAGGCTAAGGATTAGATCTGCGTAGTTCAGCTTGCATACGGCATTAAAACGTAGGTGCTGCGTTGCAGATTCCAAGCAGTATTGCCTAGAACTCGTAGTCTATTCGATCCAATGAGAGTCATTTCTGCCTGTCCGGCTCTAAGACTCCTGATTGCTAATGCCCAGATTTGAAAGCAAATGTGGTGAATTACTAACCATTTTGTAGATATTCCATTAAATCATTAATGTGGGGGTAAGAGAACCGCATCCTCCCCTGTTACTGTACTGAGCCGCCTATAATCAAGAGGAGCTCAGATTGTCCAGCACTCAGCGATGCCTTACAGCAAAAAGATCTTCACGTCTAGTTTCTCGCAGCCTGAATCATGGGTTAGAGCACAGCGAAGCTACGAAATCCTATCGGGCTTCTTGTAGAGTCTTAGGTCGCACATCATGCAAATATACAGCAGTCAAAGTTCAGGTCTTTTGTAAAGGAAAATCAACCACAGTCACATTTAAACAACCTATGTGAGGATTTAGCTTTGACTTGATCCAAAGACACGATTACGCGCACAAAAGCAAGATAAGAGGAGACGTAGCCGTCACTCACACAAGGGGTTAAGCAAACAAGCTATTAAAGTGACCCTGACTCCTGCCACAATGGTACAACCACTAATTAGCTGCGCAGTTATAAAGTACTCCACCATCTCGGCGGCCTCTGCCAGTTCTGAATTACTAATTCGGCTAAAAGCAGGATTCATAAGAGCGAATCTCCGTTGACCATCAATTGTTTCCAGGACTAAGCTTTGAAAAACTGATCTGAAACAAATGCTAAGCAAGGGAAGTGTGATCAAGCACGGTTTTCCACGGAAGGAAAATCAGTGTAGTATCATTTCCGAAATCTATGCGCGAATGTGGTAGGAGGAATTCGGATAATAAACTTTTCCTAACGGTACATGGGGTGTAGCTTCAGATGTAAATAGCATGCATGTGGCGCGAGAGAAGAAGGTACAGTTAAACGCAGATGTCTTTACCCAATTCCTCGTTATGAAGGATGTGGGGAATCTTCTGGCCGAAGTGTATGAGCTTACTTCTCATGGCAAAAGTTCGTCACTGTCAGCGGACATTGGAGTAGAAGTCTGCATAAAGTAAAAGATGGAAGTAAGGTAGGTAGAAAAATGGTAGTGATGAATACTTGTACTACGAATAAAAGAAAAGTTTAGGCTTAGTCCGAAGGTTGGCATACTCAAGGAAGGCCAGATATGCACTGAAGCGATTGAATTTAAGTGTTCGTGCACTTCAGGGATGCCAAATGCAATTTTTTGTTTATGTATCCGCCTGTACATCTGGCAGCTAAATTGGTTTTATTTTTTCACGTAGACGTGATTGGCATTTGGCCAAGTAAAAACGTTACCCTTCCAGCTTGATCCCTAAAATAAAACATCTTTAACCCCTCATAAAACTCTCTTTAGCATAATGGAAATTATTTTAACGCTAAATACGAACGTGAATCACAATGCATTAGTTTATTCATCTGCGTTTACTTTAAGATTCGCTTGACCCCCATGGACGTGGGCTGACCTTTAGGATAGGCTCAGGCTTACTCTTTGCTCCCTCTGAAATGCATGTAGTAAGTCTTACTTATTGCCTTCTTCTATCCAACGGGAAGTCGCGGAATGATACATGAGCTTTCCGATTTCGGATCATATTTAGCATGGTATTGATGCAGTGTCATTCAATGAGAAATGGTATTCGTAGTGAGCCATAAGTTGAAGTTTAGACACTATGCTAGTGTGTTGGAGTATTTTACCTTCCGTAATATGAATCAACATGCATCTTGAAGGCTTTGGTTTTAATTATTAATTAACAATTGTTCAATTTTTCAATGCTCTTAGTTGTGCACAAACTGCGTAATTTAACTTTCATCTTCAGCAAGCCTTAAAATACCTTTATTATGACCTGCAATTATATATTACAACTAAAAAGTGATTTGTTTTAATTTGTCAAACTGAATAACAGGCCGTTTCTACTACCAACCGTGCCATTGCGCACGTTATCAGCTAGCTACTAGTTAATTCGTCTCTATTATGACGTTAACCTATTGTAGAATTCGTGGGGTTGCCTAAAACACCACACTATTACTCGGTATCTACGCAAAATTATCTTTCAAATAAGTTACTTATAGCTGTTTAGCTTTTCATTGATATTCACCTTTGTAGTTGCTAAATATGGATGAGAGGATCTCCTCCTTTTGTGTTGGAGCATCGGAATCGTTTAAAGAGCTATATCGGCTTGAAACTGCTTCTTTGAATGATTCGAATTCCTCTCCAATCTTTGCTAACAAGTACAAAATTAGAGGTATCCTTGTTGACCAAGTTGGTAGGGCCAAGGCCCTTCTCACAACAGGCGATACTAGCGTTGTCCTTTTGTGGGCTTACTTCACAGCTAAATTGGCAAACAACTTTATTGAGACGGAGGAACCACGCGCAGAGGCTAGGAACCGCCTTCTTGAAGTTGTCAATTTTTGCGAATCTCACATGTATCTGGAATCAGAAGGGAATTTACTCAAGTTTTCTGGTCTTATGCAATATGTTTACAACTCTTTGGCCGTTGCTACAGATGTGGAAGATGATAACAAAACCAAGAGTCAGTCGGCTTTATTTTGGCTTGAAAAGGCAAAGAGTGTTTATGAAAAATTTAAGTTGATGTTCGGTGGACCAGAGGCACCAGAATGTTGGGAGTCTCTTGCAGCGTCGAATCTTCCTCCCGAACACAGTTGTCTTGTGAAGTCGGTAATGTTTGAAACAGGCTACACGACTACTTTGTTCATGCTTGCTCAGGCAAGTTGGATGATTTGATAATGAGCCTACGTTTTAACCAGGTTTATGGCAATAAATCAGAGAAACGAAAAGCTTCAGAGTTGTGTCGAGAAACGCTGCAGCGGCAGCTACAGTTTGCACCGGTAGTAGATGAACTCCTCGACCTTTATGGCGTTGCCAAGCGGAGGGAGTTGAGGGAAGTTAATAAGAATGATTCGTTTGCCGTCTCCCCTTCCGATTGGCTTATCAACACTCTTCAGCGCTTTGATCCAAAGGATTGGGCTAACAACACGGCTACACTGAGTGAATTTTACGCGGAAAATGGGGAATTTATTAATGCTTTGGAATGTTTAATGACAGCAAAATCGTGAGTATATGAAGGAATGGCAGGATTTACTCTTAGAAATCCCCTATGAGCATTGACTCTCCTTTTTTAGAGTAGCTTATGAGGGAAATCAAAGTGTGGATAATGAGGACTTAGGTCAAAGCCTGAGTGGAACAAAGTTGTGGGCTGACATTTCCTGGCGGATGTCAGAATATGCTCTTAGACTGTTGGAGAGGGGAAGCAAAGCCATACTCGGCTCCAGTGAGTGAAAGTCCTGCCTCCAATCCATTTAATCAAACAACTACCCCTCATCTCTATTTGGCACCTAGCTGTGATAAAGGCAAAATTTTTCACATTGTAGAAGCACTTATTTCGCCAGTATATTGTGTCGATTTCGTTTCTGTCCATAATTTTTGCGATAGGGTTTACCACGAATGAAGATGGTGTTGATACTCCCTCAGAACTCTATGGCAGTCTTTTTGGACAGAACACGACGAGAGCATTACATGAAGCCTATGGTGAGGTCACCAAAGATGTGGATCTGTCGACGATGATATTTGAGCTGTCACACACCCCAAAAGCCTATCCAACTGCTGTACGGCTCTTTAAATGGACGTGCAGATCGCTCTCAGAGGCTCTGATTTACTACCGGCTGGACGAACGCTGCACAGAGGCCATTCAGTTGATCAGAGCTCATGCAAACGCGTACGCCTTCCTCTCAATTTTTGAGATGGATATCTCTCGAAAGGTGCGTCTGTCTTCCCAATTCTGTAGTTGCCAAACGGACACGGGAGATTTAGGACCAGCCCCTTTCCCCTTCCCAATTCTACTCTAGTTCTCTGCTTCTTCAAATACAGGTAACGGTGAAGCACGAAACCATGCAAACGCCGTCAAACATCCGATTCTAAATCGTTAGTATACCAAATTAATTCCTATCTATGATATTCGCCACAACCTACATCCAAAGCATTCCCTTCGACCCGCATTTTAAATATTTTACGATAGTACTTCACACATAAAAATGTGACCTCGATGATGACTTTCTTTTAGTGCTGCATGCAAAAACGAAGAGTAGACCTTTTAGAGAACTTGCTGGCTCAGTTAAACCCCCGATTCTACATGCTGGCATGTCGAAACATCATGTACGAAGGTGCCGAAGCACTAACAGCTCTACGAGACTTGAATGAGGAAAAGATGAAGGTCAGCCTAGTGACCTCATAGTGACTGTCTTCACACTCCACCTTTCCTCTGTTTCGTTTCCTCCTTTTCAGAGAACCGCAGCCAAGGCATCCCCACCGTCGTCTTCATCCACCACTGACAATGTTGCTGAGATAGTAAAACTAGGGAGGAAGGTGAATGGATTGGGCCTGAGAGCTCTGAATATGTATAAGCAACTGTTAGACTCCTTTCTCACACCAGGAGACCAGAGTGAACCACACTTATACGAGGAGGAGTGGCTTCCAATTATTCTGGTAAGGCCTTCAATGCGTATACACTTAAGTGGCCAACTCAAACCAGACTTTGAGCTCAAATAAAGGCAAGAATCACATCAAATAGTGCGGTGCTCCACCGCAACACTGTTGTGTTGCCACAGAAATCTCAGAATCAAGCATTGCAAAACCAAACGCTTATGATACCTTTTCAACCTTCCAATGTCGCATTGCAGGTCTCCGTTGTTCAGCAGTGCTACCCATCACCATCACCTTAATTAGCAACCGCGAAAGTTGATATCGAGTTTTAGCGATCCAGTAGGATTGAACCCTCACCACGGCAATGACGCTCTATAATCCATGAAGTCTAGTCTGGGTTTGATCTGACTGACCCTCTTACTTCCTCCTTCTTCGCCTCCTCTTCTTCCTACCTACGTTAGTTTTCTTCGTGCATTTAGATGGCACACTTCTACTCGGCACGACTACACTCAAAGACGATCGTAACAGGACCCTTAGCGAATCGAGTTGGCGAGTTGAGTCTGGCACTTAAGGCGTATGAAAAGATGGTGGCGATTGCGGATAGGCATGCAAAAAGTGGCTACAAGGTGGACATGCCGGAGGTAGAAATTGCTCGCGAGATGGCACAGCTGACGGCTGGGCAGATTGCAAGAACACAGTTGTTGGATGCATGAAGATGTGCAAATCACAGGAACAAACTCGTACTTTTGTTCATCTCTTCGTGTTTTATATTTGCATCTTTGCGGACTAGTTAATCAGTGTACGCACGAAATGAGAGGTAAAACCTTTTATCTGGAAAAAATGTAAGATAATAAATGTGAATGAGGAACAACCCTGCGCTAGAAACCCATCATTCTCATTCCTGCTGATGCGTCATAGTACTAAAACCTGGGAAGAGCAAGTATGACAATGCCTGCTGCTTTTCTTGTTTGCTTCTGCGCCGTAACGAAGCAGAAAAGAACTGGTCCAGCGTCTCACTAAATTTTGAAGCACTTTATCCAATGTCCCTGCGTTGAAATGATCCAGGCCAAGACTCACTGTCACACTTACATTCATTGAGCAATAAAAGTGAAGAGTCAAGAGCAGGCACACTACAAACTTTACAAATACTGAAGCCATATCTCTATTGCCCACATTCCACGCTGGATGCGAATTTCCATGGCAGATTTTGGTGGTTGTAGTAATAGACAGATTGACCAAATATTGACACTGATGCTGTTATTGCATCATTTCTGCAGGCGGAACGACTTGAAGGACTTGTCGCTGTGTTCTGCATATCACTAGGCCACCAGTGTTAGACCAGCTCAGGGTCATATGATCTCCCGATGATACCAATGCGCTCATGGTGGAGGGTTGTTTAGGTGGCGGACGATACCCACGAAATATTACCTCGTCTTCTTCGTCATCACTGATTGTAATCGTCGATGGAGGTTTACCAATATTGGAGTCACCGCGAGGCACCTTCTTTCCCACTTGAGGCTGCTGATAATGCTCCTCTCCATCCACATCCAGGTCATCCATGAATATTGGAGATTCGATGTTCGCATCCGGAAAACTTACAGGCATTGGTGCTTCCTCCGACCGAAAGAAGGTAGAGGAGGTTTCACAAGGAGGTGTCCTTGACTCTTCTGTTATGTCAACGATCTCAACAGCATCTAGATCTACTGTTGCAGTATGGCTATCTTCTTTCTGACGTTGACCAGCTGAGGATTCACGCCTTTCTAGGTCCTCCTGCATTCGTGCATACTTGGTGATTAACTAGAGACAAAGTGAATGATCTCTCAATAAGCATCACTGTTCCTTAATATGAATCTACAAGTCAATGAAACAAATACAGACTTCCACTGCTTTGATAGTCCGTGAGGTGGAAATTGCAGGTTTGACGTTTTGTGTGCGCAGGTTCACATAATCCAGGCAATGCAGCGATATGCTGCTCTCACGCATAATAAGAAGACACAGTACTCTTTCAATTTTTACCTACTAATATGTGTGCCTGACTTGGTCCAAGCATATTATCGTAAGAAGTCATACGAAGAAGTACCCGCTTAGTCATGACTTTTACGTTAAAGTGCATTTTATGAATGAGAGCGTGGAAAAACCCAACCCGACCCAACCATCAATCGCACTAAATGTTTGGGAGCATTTAACGCTGCTTTTCCAAGCAAAAGAAGTAAATGCAGGCTTACGGATTCAAGGTTGGTTGAAGCAATTTGTCTATTAGCCCGTAGACGACGTCGCAGTTCTGCACTGAATAATGCAGGATCGGCATCAGTGCTAACACCAGTAATAACAAAAGGAAAAAGAATACTGAAGTAGATGAACAGTTAATAGCAGCCTTAGATATTCTCAGCCATTCATCAAAGTAACCAATCAATTCGTTAAGCTATTACAAAATGAGGGTTTCGCAAAGTTGTTTGCAGTGATCATAATATCAGAGGCGAAACTCAAAAAACGCCCGAAATATTCTACACTTCCACTTACTCAACCTGTTCGTCAGTGAGGTGGCAACCAAAATCGCGCCGAAACTGACGTTCACGACGATTCTTCAGGATGGCACCTACATCAGTGAAGATCTCCCGAGCCAATGTCTCAATTCCGCTGGTACTGCAAAGAAATGCGAAAACAGAAGGGCATATACCCCACATAAAGTCGGTTGGTACGCCTGAACAAACTCATCCCATGGCAGTTTATTCCATTTCATCAACACAGCTGGAGCAATGGCAGAAGATCAGACTCCACCTGGATGAAGCTTCAACGATGAGAAAGTCGCTCCATCTGACTAAGGAATGCTCCCGACAAGAGGGTAAGCACTTGCTGTGCTGCATGATCGCGATCGAGATAGTCAACTAGAGTCGAGTTTTTGAGATTTGATGATAGTATGAGACCGTCTTCATTACCACGGTCGGTTATACACACCTACCGCAACTTTTACCTACTAACTTCAGTAAGGATGCGCAGACATTAGGTCAAACTTTCCCAGTAGCCCAAATTCAAGTAGTGAAGACCACTTGCCTCAAACCAAGTTGCTCGCGATTGGACGTCTCCTCCACCACCTTGTAGACGTCCACATAGTCAGGAAAGGTGTGAGAAGCGTTCACGTGATCTTCAACCGCACGATTAAGCACCGCGAAACGAGAGCCTTAGTAAAAAATGAGATGAAAGAGTCGAGACGAAGAGCAAGGCAAGACCTGGACTGTCCTAACCCCCTCTTCAAGAACAAGCAATAAAAGACAGCGTGGAATGGTAGGCAATGGCATAACGGGTAGCAATAGCGTAAGGGCCTAATGGCAATAGGGCTCAGAGAGAAGGCAACCTTCTTCGAATCAACACACGTTTCAACTTTCCAAAACGTGCGCTGACACAGTAGCTGTCAAGATAGGCCACCGCATTCCACATTTTTGGCACTGGAAGGGCTTGAGGTCAGTGCTGGAGAGTTGTGATTTTCTCTTCTTCGTGACATTAGCAAGTTGTTTAGCCCATTTGAGTGCCTTGAGATATCACACTAGTTGCAGAGATAAGCTAACTCGCTTTCGGATGAGAAGTAGGCGCCGTAGCTAAACCGCAATTCTCACAACGGTCGGCATTTTTACCGTGGGCAGTTGTTGAAGGCCCCCTAGAGAGGACCTGCCGAGACCACACAAATGCTTCAAGCTTGTGTTACCAAATAAAGCCACATGAAATGACGTTTGTGCGGTAAAGAGTAAACACAAATCGCACTACAGCAGTTTCTCTTTCCACGCCCCTCTTGAGTAGTCGAACACCACAGACTGTAAGAAAGCTATGAAACAATAACAGAGCACCAAGGAGGAAACGAAACAGTAGTTATTTCATGAAACAAATTCAATATGTTCGCCTAAGCTCAAAGTGAGTACGTGATTCCATAAACAGCCAATTAACATGAAAGGGACTCATCGTGTATGCTTTTGTTTTTGGGCAGTACAAATGCGGTAAGTTAATAGTCCTTTAATAATAGCTAGTAAAAAAGGAAAGGGCGAAGATTTAGAAACAATGAAGACAAAGCAGCGAGTCATTGACTAGGGCAAATGCCTTCCCATCCCAACGTAAATGTGATGACCAACGCAGTGACAACACCGAGAAAAGAAATCTGAATAGCAAAGATGCCTGTATTAACGATCTAGTGAGCTCCACACAGGTTTCATCCACCAACTTTCTATCACAGAAGATGAACTTCATTCTCTTTATCAACACTGCTCTCATCACCTGCGCGCAAGTTGCAGTCATTAAAGAATTCACACACCGAAGGCATGCACACATGCATACGGTACAATCAAATGTCACAGCTGGGCTCATAGCCACTTCACACGTTCATCGCCGCATTCTTCTCAAAAAAGTCGGTTCTATACGAGTACAGATGTCACTTCCTTACTTTTGAACCGCGAATTCAGTTGGGAAAATCAGGATGGCCCGTACACGCGTGTAATGTTGGTGGAGGGTACTCAACGAAAAGTTACACAGCAACAACCGCCGGTACATAAACATAGAGCCACAAGTTGACGCACCAGAGTATCGAAAGGGCAGACGAGTAAGACTTCCAGCGTGACGGGAGATGCCGCGAAGGCGACAGAACTGCCGCCACACTCCAAGATACTCCCGCTTGAGGGTGTCCAACCGTAGGTAGGCGGACTCCTCATCATCTAGCTCCGTTTCGTCCATTTCCACTTCCTCCATCCGACGAATCTCTCGCGAGAGGAACTTAAATGATACACAAACAAGGCTAGCTTAGGGACGCGTAACATCTAATTGTATCTAACTTACAGGAAGCGTTCACTACCACTTGTAAGTGGATCGGCGTTAGAGCGAGAGAAGCAACAAATGCTCAAACAAGCACGTGACTATATAGTTAATGAAGTCATGCTTAAGCAGTAACTTTACAATTATTTTCTTTTACAAGAACTGCACCCATCCACAGAACTACACTCACACCGGATGACTACGCTTTTAGCCGATGTATCCAACTGCTATGTACTTTTGCCCACTACCTTGCATTAGCCGAGATCACAAGAAGAACGACATTCATTAACTGAGGAATTGAAACATAAGCTTAGGGCAAAAAAATGCAAGCTACACGTGGAACAACCTCACAGCCACAGTTTGACCAAAACTAACAGACAACTTCAGCTTTGAAAGTATAACGCGCAGCGACGCAGAGAGACGTAACAGGTCTAGAAGGAGATTATTCTGCCCTAATAACGGGCTGATGCGTGGAGTCTACTATGTTGACAGCAGCGAAAGTAGAAAAGTGTGTGCAGAGGGGAAAACAATTTCAGAGATCTAAAACAGTTTTTTATAACTCCACGATGCAAACTAGTTTGATCTTCGTTTGAGGTCGTCAATGGAAGCCCCTCCTAAAAAAGCAATAATCACAAAATACCTCCATCCGACATTGCAACATTTGCAATTTACGATGAGTCGATGGTGATGGAGAAATCCATTTTCGTTGCCGCGGTGTTAGTGGCTCCATCTTTCCATCTAAAAAAGTTAATAAGATGGGGAGTGAGAAGCCAATGCAATCGATGTGCCAAAGGTATTTCAACAACCACGAGACAATGAGATATTACAGTGGTTAGTCAGCATTATTCTACAAATATTGTACAATTTAAAGCACAAAAACTCGGTAGTGATTAGATAATACTATCCAACTTCCGAGAAACCCGTTCTTTATTTTGGGACCATTTCAGGACTTCAGAAAGTGAATCCACAGTTTAAACATGCATTGGCACAAACATCGAAAAGTGCCAGCAAGAATCTAAAACGAACCTGTGTATCAGCTAGGGAAACAATAATGACTTTTCCCAAACCTCCTGAATTAATGCTCACAGGAAAGTGGAAACTAATAGTTTATTCATTCAGGCCTCACTCGAATTGACCAACGTTGATTTCTGTGTGCCAGAGGCTTCTGTCGATTCGCCGGAGATCGTCAATTCATCAACACGGGGACGTTTTCGTTTTCCATGTGTAGAAGATTCTGAGGGAGTGGCTTCCTCTGAGCACTGGCGGTGGCAGATAGGATTTGATGGGGTTGGACTCAACGTGATGAATTTAACTCTATGTTTGGAAGCGCCTTCCGAATTGCCCGAGAGATCATTGGCGTCCTTCCAAAGCGGTGGACAGTTCTGACGATGGAAACGAAATTATGAAATTGGGTAGCTTATAATGTTTTGTTTGTTTTGCAGAACTGTTCGGCCTTAAAGTTTGACTTAGAAGAGTTAAGAATGGACCAGCATCAAATAACCAACGGCAATTGGTGCACTGGTTACTGCTTCGCGAACGATTGGACTATAACCGTAACTTATTTAAGCAAAAATCGAGTAAATCACTTCAGAGATTCGCACGCAAGTATTGTGATGACAAAATAAAATGGGGTTATAACTACTCGACGAGTCTTGACAAGGCTCAGACCCTTCTCCAAGATGGTGAACGGCCAAATATATAAATATATATATTGGGTAAAACTTATAACGTTTCAAGCTTTCGCTGCACGCACCGACTAAAAAGATTATTCTCCCAAAGTATGCAGTGGCAGAAGCTGCTCCAAAGCTTTCAAAAAATATCAACTGAACGGGCAGATAAAAGAAGTGTTTGCAATCCAGTTGCTTTTTTTGCAAAATATGCACGTTAATCAATCAAATGAAGCAATTTCAAGAATATGACGTCCTACCTTATCAACGATAGAAATTGAATACCGCTATCAGAACAGCAGACAAAACTAGGACAAAACTCAAATGTTTGAGTCAAATGACGAACAAAAAACTCATAACTACCGAAAGTTGGTACCTTAGTTTGAACTCTACATGATAGCTCCACTTAAAATGCGACAAACGAAAAAGTACAGCAGTGTAATCGCTGGTAGCGTATGCAATGGCATTTAAGAGGGATTATCAGAGATCGATTTCAATAACAATCACAGTCTCTGAACAAACAAAACTTGGGAGCACACCTCATTCGCAAACGGCTCACACCTCGTTAATTTTCTTTTTAGCTCTAATAGAATAAGGTAGATCTTTGAAGGAGAGACTCGGATGCGATCAATGTAGCGGTTTAACAATTTCATGGTCCGAACATTGCGTTGGAATTCCAATGGGGTAGCGAAGAATTTCCGCGTCAGTTTCTCGATGACAACGTTGTCATTTTTTGGTAGTAGAGGACGTAGCTGATCCAAAAACTACTTAACGATGTAAAATTGGTAAATGAAAAAAACATACCCCGCTCCAAATGTTCTCCATACGATAGTTTGTAACGCAGTATCGAAAAAGTGTGGATTCAATATGATCCTTTTGGTACGGAAGCAGCTATCTACAGTTTTAGGCAAGATATTAACAAGGAAAACGAATTAGAGGGAGAGGACAGATATTTCGCATACCATAATCATAAAGTCAAAAATACAGGATCAGAGTCATTCAAAAGATTATTTTACAAGTGTACAAATTTGCTTTGGGAAAAAACATGAGACCACTGCAAACGAGCGCTCAAAGCAGCTCACAAGCAAAAAAAAAACCAAATCCCAACCCACGAAAACCAAATCATCAAGTTCAGCGCAAAAACTTTGGAGATAGAAACAAACCATTGAATCACATGTCGTTAATTACCTAGTGGATTATTACAGACATCAGAGTAAAAAATTCCATATAAGATAAAAATTTTATTGCTTGTTTGATTTACATTCATGAAAATAGGACCATGTGGTCCACCCACCACCCGCGACCACTTAGTCACCCAAAATCGAAAGCGCCTATGGAGCAAACCACCCACACCCAGTAGTGGAGGCTTCAGACGCCGCCAAGTCACCCACTCTAGCCGACACACCTCACACCGCAACGCCTCCCGCCTGAACCCAGAAACGCCTCAATCATGCACAGCACCATAACCCCCAACGAGAAATAGAAATCAATAAGAAAACTGCAAATTCTTGAGCACATAATGGAGTCCACATCGACGACATCCTTCAGGGCTCCTTCAGAGTTTTTTCTAGAGAAAAGTCGAAGGAATACTACAAGCAAAGACAGAAGCACCATTTAATTGGGATCGATTACACATGCACCAGACACTCATGTAGATGTGTACCTGATCCTCTATGGCCTCCCGCGATTTCGGATGGATAGAGTAACGACTCATCTACGTAGGAATAATGCATAAAGCAAATAGTACGGCGAGATTACATCAAGGAAACTGTTAAGGAAACACCACTCACAATATCATCTGAATCGCCAACTCTGCAGTCCCTAGTGAGTTGAAACGGCACGCCGCTCATAGCTGAAAGAAGACACGAATTGCGTCACACATATATAAGTAAAAGGATGAGCACGCCTGCAATCTTTTATTTGAATCCTATTTTTAGTAGCTAGCCCATACGTTATAAAGTTTAAGAAGATCGCCATCCATTTCCCCCCCTTTTGGACTTGTGCAACCAAAGGTTAGCCAAAAAGTCTTGCGTAAAAGAACTAAAAAACGACCACCCAAACAATGGAAGTAGAAAAAAGGCAATAACAATAGTAAAAATTCGATTTGCTAATAGGAAATTTCAGACTGCTCTAGAAAGAGTGGAGATTAACTGCAGTGCACACAGATAAGATGTTTCTTGCTGGTAAATAACTTTACCACCTGGTTTTGCATCATATATTAGTCCATAGTTATTGATAATCTTAAGATGCAGATAAGTAGATAAGCATTCTAACCGCGGCGATGTAGGCAGTAAAAAACATGAACACAAGGAAAAACGAAACCCACGGTTGTATATGATTGGTTTTTGCGGCAGCTCAGCCGGCCTCCCAGGTGCCTTCTTTCTAGCCTGACTATTGCCTCCAAGCGGGGACAGGACACATGCCAAAATGCGCTGTTCTGACAGCTCACTATAAAGAAATAATAAATGAAACAGTTAAAGCGCCAAAGGTAGAGAAGAAAAACCTTCTTAACGCACCCAATCACAGTATGACCCATCAGCCCATCGCTGCGATTTTTGAAAATGACAACGTCTGTTACAGCTGTCATGTTCGGTTTCCATGCATCATACTTAACGCACAAATGCTTTCCCTTAAAACAACGTTCGCCTGAGGTGGGAGAAAAACATTAATGATATTGCAATAGAATGGCCAGAAAAAAGGACAAAGACATGTCAGCAATAGAAGAAATACGTGTGTCTAGTGTTCTTTCGATTACGGTGAAGTCAGGAGGAACAGCATCCTTGCTTGCAACGATGGCTAGATTCACGAGAACATTATGAGGAGAGTTGGCACTACATGGTTTCCTTTCCAGAACCAAAAAACGAGAAGACTTGCGCAAAATATTTTCTCTTCCAAAATCGGCTTCTTCGTGAGTATCTTTAGTCCATTGAATCTGAAGCAAACATGGAATTGAAAGTAGGAAACATGACTTATGGTAACAAGCACGGAATTAGACTAAACCTATCAAAAAATTGCAACGATTTCAATGAGCAGCTAATTTTACCGCCGCATAGTTCCCCGTAACTCTTGAAAGTGACGCAACAACCCCGATACCGGTTATTGGTTCTGCCATCCCAAAAAGATAATAATGTCATTTAACAAGGAGCCCAAACATTAGTTCATTATAACGCATATAAATAATTTTAATATGTAATTAGGGACTCAAGCATCGTTAAAGCTTATTTAGTTAAGGTTATCGACACTTTGCGCTATTTAGTTTAGCAGTTTTTTAGTCTTTGGCGGAAATGCTCATTGCTAAATTTGTTAAGTAATTCTGTGCAATAATCGATTTGCATAACCTCATAATTATCCTGTTCTTCAACCTTTGGCCTTTAGTATTTACTTTTTAACTCTTAGGTAATTTTTTAGATAAAGGCATTAAATTAAGCTGATTGCACACATTGTAGGGGAAGATGAATGGACAAGGCCTTGGATTTCTCCTAAAGGCCATCACAAGCGTAAATGAATACAACCTACTCCAAAGTCGTAATGCTTTGCTTGTGTGACCGCTTGACGTATTGCGACCACTTTGAGATTTAACTAGCCCTTGCACACGTGGACTGGCTTTCAGACCATGTCCAGAATGCATGTATATTGTAAGAGCTACTTGTCTACCCTCTGGTCCTTGAACCTCAGATCTCAAGACAGTTGGTTGTAGATGATTTGTTAGACATCTGTTATTGGAAGAAGGAGAAATTGGATGCAGACGAGGCGAGTAAGAGCTATCAATTGGATAGAGACTCCTCATCGGCTTCACGCAAGTGATTCGCATTCCAAATTGGTTCCCGCCTCTCTCCTATAAAAGCCCACTTAAACGAACTTGTATGTATTACACACCCCCCTCTCTTTGAAGCACCGTCTCTGGCGCTGACCTGTTGGATTACATCGGGTGGCTGCCCTTTTTCTAATAGCGTATAGACTACGTCTTCTTAACCTACCCCGCATATGGCCTAATCTTCCGAATTAGGTAAGTTTTAGGCGACAGGTGTAGCGTCTCGAGGCCTCCAATGGGGTAGTAGAAGGCATAAGTGGGGTTGAATACATGTATTCCGAAAGCAGTAGGAGAAATGGAGCCTGAGCGTGGCCCGAAGTCCAGCTCACGTGTACAGGGCCCAGATAAGTCCTAAAGTGACTGCCAAACGTCAGATAGTCGCATAAACAACGCATTACAACAGGACTTTGATTATCCGGCAGAGTTCCATGCTCCAGGAGTGGTAGAATTTTTGAGGGGTTCCTTAATGACGCTTGTTCGACTGTCTATCGTAGGACCTCTTTTGTCTAGCGTATGCTTCCTTTGGCTGTCTGCGCGCGACGTCGAATACATTCCTGAGGTTCTCCTTTAGTCGCAGGACGTACTGAGGCGCATTATCTCCTGCCGGTTTCTTACGAGGAAGCAAAATGTCGGGAGGCACTCTCATTTCACGACCTGTGACCATCTTGAATGGTGAGACTCCAGTCGAGGTGTGAGCAGAAGCTCGGTAGACATGGAGAGCTCGTCCTAGGTATAAATCCCAATCCTCCAGTTAAGCCTCTTTGGTAAAGGCCTTCAATAACTCGACAAGAGTACGATTTGCTCTCTCCAAGCGTCTTACGGATTCCGAAGTCCTTGCGCAGCTCTTTGAATAGACAACTTTCGAAGTTCATCCCTTGGTTGCTATGTACGGAATCAGGCATGCTATGTTGGCAGATTCAGCGATTGAAAAATACGGTTGCTACTGTCTCATCATCATGCGCCTATAGTGGCTTGGCTTCCGCGACCTTGGTGAAATAGTCTACCATCACCAAAATATAACGGCTCCCTCTCGGAGTCGTGGAAAGCGAACCTATGATGTCTATGCCTACTCGCTCTCCTGGAAAGCCCGTGGGTCGGTGTTCTGCGTGGTTCTCCGGTGATGGGAAGTAAGCTCGCCCAATGACACCTCACCTACTGTGTCGCTCTCCGTGGACGGTGATAAGGGTCTCCGTAACAGAGGGTCCACATTGCCATGAGAGCTTCCATTCCTACAGCACACAATAAAATCATATTGCTGGAATTCTTTGCACCACCTTGCAACCGAGCGGTCGATCTCCTTCATCGTCTTCAACCATGTCAGAGCTTTCCTATCAAGTAGTGCTTAACATGTCTGAGCCTTTTATAAATAGCGAAAAGTTCCCGTTCTGTTGCACTCTTGTGTTTCATCTTTTCGCTTAGGCGAGAGCTGGCATACGCGATCGCATGTTCCTACCTGTCCTTGTCTTTCTGGGATAGGATTCCGCCCACTGCCCCTTCACTTGCCTCGACATTAAAGTTTGGTAAAGTCAAGATCGGCACCGCACAGAGAGCACGCTTCAACTCCTCAAACGATTCTGTGTGGTCGGTTTCCCAACGAGACTCCTTTTTTGCCTGTTTCTCTGTCAACCTGTATAGAGAACTTGCGATCTCGGCGAAACCTTTTACAAAACGCCGACAATAGTTAGCCAAGCCAAGTAAGCTGCGAAGTTCCGTCTGATTTGTAGGTGTCGACCAAATCCTCACTTCCCTTGTTCTGTCTTCCGTGACCGCCATCCCGTCTGCAGAAATTGTGTGCCCAGAAACGTGACCGGGTTTTGGAGCAAACTGCATTTCTTCGGATTCAGCGTCAGACCTGCTTCCCGAAGGCGATCCAGTACTAATCGGAGGTTGGAGTTATGTTGTTTGACGTCTCTCCCGGAAACGAGGATGTCGTCCAGATAGATAATGCAGCGTTTAGGGAATAGGCCGTGCATAGGCATGGTGTGGAACTCGTATAGTCCATTTGACACGATGAAAGCGGTTTTTTCTCGATCCATCTCCGCTACCTCCACCTGCCATTAGCCGGACTTCAGAGTCAATGTCAAGAACCACTTCGCTCCTTGCAGAGAGTCCAACGAGTCGTTAATGTGGGGTAGAAGAAACGCATCCTTCTTTGTTACTGCATTGAGCCTCTCATAATCGACGCATAGACGTAGGCTGCCTTCACTCTTTTTAACTAATGTGATGGAGGAGGAGGGCCTGATAACGTTATCACGCAGCATCTCGTCAATCAATTGATGTACTTCGTCTTGGGGGGGAGATGGTATGCGTCTAGGCGGCTGCAAGACCGGTTTGGCCTCGCTAGTATCAATCCTCTTAGAGGAACGTTTGTGAGTAGTTCTTCAGGAGTGGGTGCAGTTCCTTCCTCTCAGCCTCAGTAACCTGTTTTAGTTGAGCGCAGCGATCGTTTAGATTGGTCCCGGGGATGGCAAAGGCGACGAAAAGGGATTTGCGTATATCAACTGCGTCTTTCTTTGGTTTAGGGATCGAACGCTTATTCTTGGATTTTTGATGGGTTGGGAGCATGCCTGTATCGCGCGGGACTAACGCAAAAGTCCCAGGCTAGCTCTGGGCACAGCACGAACTTTACCTCCCAGCTGTCATTCCCGTTTGAAACTCTGATAGGTGCTTCTCATATTACCGAAAATTCTTTTCCCTTTGCAGAGCGTAGTCTAGTAGCCGATGGGGTAATTTTAGCCTTGTTGCAGACAATGGGGAAGGCTTGTGGATTTGGTAGGGAACAGGCTGCCCCCGAGTCCAAAAGAAATGAGCATGTGTGATCTTCTAGCTTGTCCCGAACACACATAAAGTTAGAACATCGTGAGGGAGTTAGACAAAACAAAGAAAATTGTGTCTTACTTTGCATTGAGGATCAGCTTCGGAGCGCACGCTTTTGCTCGCCAGTAGGCCGTCTGTTGGGAGTCCACGGGCGAATGCGGGCCTTGAACTCGGTTGAGAGTTGTGGCTCCTGGCCCTTAGCTAGTGCCGCGTCGATGAGGCGGCTCAATCTGCTAGTCTTCATCTGCAGCAGTTGTTCTACCAAAGCAGATGGACGTACACCCCTTTTAAACTGGGCCGCCATCTACGAGGCAACGCGCAGGGGTCAGAAATCCTTGAATGCCTTTTTGGCTAATGCCTGAAGATTCCCCGCAAAGTCTTTATCACTCTCTCCCGGTTTTTGTAGCCGGTGAAAAAAAAGTCTGGACCCAAAAACTCTTCCTTCTGGAGGGATGTCAATTTGACAAGAACCAAACAGCGGTCTTCCATATCTGAGCAAAGTGAGACACCCGCATCCATTGCTTCCCGACGGAGTAGCAATGGCACTCGCCGAGCAGGCGCGTAGAGTTCGAGACCTGCCTTTGTAAAGAAAAGCCAGTCATCGAAATCAGTGCCTTCTTTGAAGGGAGGGATGTCGACCGACGCTGCCACCAGTGTAAGAGCTGCCTGTCTACCCTCCGGTCCTTGAACCTCAGACTTCGAGAGAGTTGGTTGCAGATGATTTATTAGGCATTTGTTTCAGGAAGAATGGGGAATGGGATGCAGACGAGGCGAGTAGGAGATATTAATTGGAGGGAGACTCCTCACCGGCTTCACGCAAGTGATTCGCGTTCCCAATTGGTTTCCGCCTCTCTCCTATAAAAGCCCACTTAAACGAACTTGCATATATTACATATCCGGATGGAGCTACTGACTTCTTATACCGGCCAGGAAGTCTCGGCACGCTGCACTGGGAGTAGCGCAAAGCCAATCCGACATTTTTCTTTAACGACTTTCACGTATAAATTGCATTTGAAGATCTTCTGCTCCAACCAACGTGGGCTCTCTCCCTCTGCGGCTTGTTCTTCGTTGGTCGTTTGATAAGAGCGCCGTGGCGTACGGGAAAATTTATTGCCCAACAGACACCGCTGTCTCACTGACATCCTACGTTTGTGTTGCTACATTTTGCCGAAAAAGGACAGCTCGAACCAGTCGACGAGCAATGGTTCGTCCCGATGATGCAATGATTCAGTACCTACAAATCGCACAGGATATGGAGATGTATGCCACTTGTTCTTGGTGTTGATAATCCGTTGGACCCCAAAATCAGCTTCCCTTGGTCGGAAGCACGAAACCTCTCTTTTCACAACAACAAGTTTATAATCCAACCAGCAGACGAAACTGCAAAGGACTTCTGCTATTTGGTGGAGATGAAGATACAGGCGAAAAGGGGGCGTAAATTGAAGGAGGCGCATTTACCTTGGTGGCGGACGAATCCCCGAATCTTTCACAACGAAAGAGTTGAGACTGACGTCTGCATTTGTTTCCACCTTATGCCCGTGATCCACAAACAAGCTATTAACTATCTGGAAAAGTTTCATGTCGGAATTTTCGCATACAAAATCCGTCAATTTGTGTTGTAAATGACACTACAGTTCTCCTTGCATACGGGACAGTGGCCCATCCCGTTTTCCCTGTAACATATGTGTTTTAGACCAGAGATCCGCCGTCTATTCCTGGAAGCAATTGGTGGTTAACAGGCGTATGCGGTCTCGAATCAGGTTGTGAGACCGAACGTAACTGCGGATCCAGTTGAAGCTGCCGGGGAGACCGTGTACGGTTCCTCAGTTTCGTGGCATCTGTCGACTGGTGCGGTTGGCTTGTGGGTGATTTCATGTAGTACCGAATATGTAGTAATGGCAGGCGCAGGAGGTGTGCCAAAAGGGAGTGCCGATGACGTCGCTCAAAAGAAGAGAGGGACAATGTAATGCTTGTATATATGACCACCTGAAGTGTGGCGGTCACTTTAAGATTTGTCTAAACCGCGTACACGTGGGCTGGCCTTCGGGCCCCGCTCAGGCCCCATTTGTCCTGCCGTCCTCAGAATACATGTATCCAGGTGCATGTACTGACTTCTTATTACCGGCTAGGAAGTCTCGGGACGCTAAAGAAGTAACCACCCGAAATTATATAGTCAAGTAAACGTTGTTGTTCTGCCTTTCTCTTATTTTAAGCAACGTTCTGGACGCTCCACTTGGTACACCTCCCCCTCCACCCAGTATGGCATTTTCGGTGCTGATATCACGAACCCTCGAACCACCCGCGGCAAATATGGACTATCGTAGGACTAAGTAATCACTCTTGCATTCTCAGTAGCTTTATTTGCTTCTAGAGTGAGTTCGGTCGTGCGCCAGGAATAGGAGTCACACACATCTGTTGACCATCAATTACTTCAATGAGTAGAATTTAAAACATTGCGTTCAAAGAAGTGTTTCGTAAGGAAGATGTGACTAAACTCAGTCACATATGTAAGATTGTCATGGGTGTTGTCATCTCGGACATCTTTACGTGGATGTAGATGACAGAATTCGATTCGAATCTTTTCCGGAGGGTGTACGACGGTGTCGATTTGACTGTGGAATACGAAGACAAGGTTGAGACAAAAGCCGACATCATTTTAAGCCCTTCCGTCGTAACGTATACTAAAAGTCGCCTGCCCAAATTATATGTGCTTCCTCACATCGTAAATCTGCGTCACAAAAGATGGATGCCACGATGGAATCATTTAAAATTGTCGGATTCGCATTCCGCTGCCATCAACGAAGTGCCTCAAAACTTCCCATTAGGCAAAATAAGGCATTATATTGGAATAAATGCAGATACTTTAAGGGGCGATGAAGAATAAGGAGATCACCTTAACCCTGATGCCAGTTCTCGCCTACAAAAGCATAACCAATGCCACCAGTGACCGCCAGTATTACGCTTTCCTAATTAAAACTGTCAATGTTTTCCTGAGCACCTCCATTACCATTATTGCAAAGGTCACCACTGTTCGGGGTTAATACAAATTTAGGCTACAATGGGCCAAACCTGAGCAGAACCTGTATTTGATCCAGTCAACTTGCTACGCATCAAATCCAACCAACGACTTGCCATCATTATGGGGCAGCAAGTCCTCCATTAGCGAGGAGAGGCACAAAAGCTGGCTGTGCCATAGTGATCGTTTGGAAGGTGAAAAGTAGTGCCTTTGACATTCATTTTACTTTGTTTGACCATTGTTGTTCGTGTAGAGATCTAAACAGCCCAAACCAAATATCTTCGTGCCGAAATGCGGGGGAGAAATGCTATGGAAGCTTTTGTTAGTTCTTCTTGGGGAGGGGAGGGGGCAACGTGGTGCACCTCTACAAACACACTCAAGCACTAGTGGATGGATGGAAAAATGGTAGGTTTTGGCTCTCAGTGCGAGAGGACTGCATGGACTCTAATCTTATGCACATAAAAGCTTTAGCGTAGGCACAAATTCTTTTTCTATCCCACTGAACTACTCAAGCAATCCAATTAATGCACTGTTTAGTGGTGAGTGATGCAGGACGCTTTTGGCAAATTACATAACTTAGCGATAAACTTATTTACTAGGCAACCATTCTCGTTTAAATGCACTGTTCTCAGAAATCCGCAATGACTGGTTCCCAAGGTGCAAATAAGTTAGCCATAAATTTCAAAGTGCGCAACTTCAGAATCACCTGCGACATTTTTTTTGTGATTCTCTCCCACTGCAGTTGATGGGATGTAATTAATGTAATTTAGAATTTTATATTTTGGTAGATTAAATGCATACATTGGACGTTTTGCAGGGTTCATTTGTTGGTAAATTTACTACTAGAAGTGCATGGGTCTCGCTGACTTAACTTCACCCACCTACTTTTACTTCTAATTTACTGTCGCATGCCGGCTTACGTGCCTTTTTGCAGCATTCGAAAGCGGAAGACAATCCCAATGCTGCTAAGAGACGGAGTTGAAATACACAAGCGGCGACTATAATTCAGACGTAACCGAGCTGTGTTACTGGTACAATAATTGTCGAAAGAAAAATGTGTAAGCACAAAAACACATACCTTAGTTCTGTGGATAGTGTAAACAATTTGCAATGCCATTAAAAGTACGAGAAACTATTCGTTCCACCTAAAAGAATGCCAATAAAGTGGTCATGCTTCGATCTGACTCAACGCCCCCACACAATATCAGGCGATTAGTCATGGCTGGTGCAGCCAAATTGCGACCTACTAGTATGGGCACGTGCCAGCCACCAGTGATTCAAATTATTTGCATTCCCTATTACAAACCCTTCCTCCCACTAGTGTCTTCATCAAACTTTGTTCATGAAAGGTGGGATTATATCTCTCCTTGGGCAAATTGACTCAACAATTTGCTTACTGCCTTATGACAAAGATCGCAAGGTGGATGTGCCCTCCACCATTGCCCTCTCATTGGTCAGTGAATGATATTGGGCTATCCCATTGGCCAGTGTAGCTCTAAGCTGATTGGATCTCATAAATTTCTTTAAAATTTGCTGAACACGTAGCGAGACAGCTACATCGTGTATATAAATGCTAAAGACTTTGTTTTAAATATAGACTCTCTTTCTTGGCTGTAACTGTACTATTTTATGATCTATAAATGAAGATGTAGTAGTCTGTTACCTAATAAGGATAAATACAAACCTAACGATCACATAAACGATTTTATCACACAACCGATCCGACAGCCGAGATGATTGCGTTATACTAGAAGTCACCTGATTACCCTTAATTACCAGGACATTTTCTACCGTAATCAATCGTAAAAGTTCAGTGTATTATCTCTCCACATCTGTGCACAAAATGCAGTTAACGAAGGTTTGCGGTACACGACTATGCACTAGCAGTGGTGCCATCACTTTTTCGACAACTATTTCGATGTCCAGAAGTCTTTCTCCTGTGATGACGAAACATTTGACGGTTAGACAGCCTCATCCAATAATTGTGTGAAATTGTGACTCTTTTAGGCACACTTTACACCAAAACAACGATCATAAAACGATGCACAAAAACACTGAGAAGAAACACTATGCACGAACTCTACCATCTCTCACCTATGCTTGACAATGTATAGAGCTTGCTTCACACCTCCACAAGGCCCAAAAACATTCGTAAACACAGAAGATTGATGGCCTATTGCACCAAAGGCGAGAGAAAACCTTGTACGTGGCTGTGATGCATGAGACCCTGTTCTAAATGGCCAAATATGTCAGCTCCGATTGGTCACGATAAGGCGTCAAACGATCGAAAATCAGCCTAATGGAGACGCTGACTCGTAGCTCTTCAATAGTACTGCCAACCTCCGTGGTTAAAACATAACTCCTTACTGAGGAGAGACGAATGCCTCCGCTCCATAAAATGTCACAACCGTTCATATAGATTAACCAATGTCTCCTCCATTCGTATCCTCTCACATAAGCTGATCGTAGAAAAGCCGTCCAAATGGCGAACTAAAATCGTGCGCAAGTTGCATCTCGTTATCACGCCCACAGCCTCCCAACCAAACCGTTGCGTGAACAGCAAAGCTATCCTGGCGACACGCCTTGCTACGCCCTCAGAGGTGGTTGCGTTGCGGACGATAACACACATTAAAAAGTGGTTTAGTTAAAAAAAGGCAAACAGCTTAAATCGGGCCAGAACATTTAGGTGTTACAGGAATAGAGCTTGACATATTTTAGCAAATATCCCAGTCTACCGCATGAACCAAAGGAGTCGGATAAACGATAGCACAACAGATTTTTATTCTTTTCATTAGCAGTAGTAGGGAAAATATGATAGGTATTCTGTACACGGGGTTAATAATGAGACTAAGAATTCACCCAGAACCCATAGGACCTAAATTTACTTCCCGACGAATAGTCTCATAGGTTAGCATAGAGATAGCCGTGGCAGGCAACACTTTGACAAGATTTGTTCCCAGTCCTCGGTATAAACCAATCAGTCCATCGTCCTGCCAAATTGCTCGCAACAGAGAGGGCACAGTGACAGGGCGTTGGGTGACCACGCCTGTACGCTGAGAATTCGACGGTTTGGAACTGTAGTAGAAAGCCGCCTGCATTTTGGCTCGGATCAAAGCCACTGGATAGGTGGCCACTATCCCAACCATCGAGGAGGTGGCGGCAACAAGTGGGATTATGTGCGAAGGGGGGTGGATGTAGAGGTTGGCGCTGCTGTAAGAGAAAAAGACACATGCCCATACAATGTAGCAAAAGCTCCAGTGCCAGACTCCCTCAGTTTCATCTTTCGATACAAGAGCGGGATGATCCACCCAACTTTCTGTATAACGGCCAAAATGTCTACTCATGTGATGTGGGGTGGAAAGAAGCCGACACTCTTAGGATCTCCACTGAGGAAGGCAAAGTCAATCGTGTCTGGTATTCAGGTGTTCAACCGTCAAATAATAAAGCACACCACAATCGCGATGGTGCACTTGGAGCCGTCCGTAGCTGCAAGGAGCAGGGAATTTGCTGATTTTTTGCTCATAGGAGGTTCCGTCAATCATCTAGCACCCACCTCCTACACGCTCACATGCCACTATCACTTTCACCCGCTACTTTTGAGACTTGCACAAAGAAAACTTTTTGGTAGAATAACTGAATCTAACAAAATCCGAATGAGCCACTTTACACCAAGCGCTTGGCCACGCTGATTTCCTTGACAAGACCGCTTCCAAAGCGGTACGGAGAAATGGAGGCCCCGCCCAAACGGCCTAATGGCTACAACGTGACCTTAACCGCTCGTTGGGCTTTTATCTACGCTCCGAATGCAGACTAGTCTCTCTCACTGTTAAACAATAGTCGTGTCTACGGCACTTAACGTGAAATAATGTCTGCCTGGCCTTGTAATCTATTCCAAACAAAAATGCAACAGCCTCAATGGACTAATAAAGGAAGGTATGAGACTGTATTCCATAAAGCATGTGCTGTCAATTTGGCGCCAAATGCAGCAGGACGTGTGTCCCCAGGGTGCCGCTTAATCATTAACCAATAAAAAACGTGGACATGGAATCACAGATGTTAGTCTTTGCGTCGCAGTCGAACTAGTCGTTGGAACTTCAATATCATGGTAGGACAGTAAGGCATCAGATCTTTGGTTACCAATTTTGCTTCCAGATTTTCTAGTGTCGAGCCTGATTCATGACATTTTGTCTTTTGCATTTTGAACTTCTAATGTTTACCACCCTGATCGTGCCCATTCGTGTTGTTAGAACTTCGCAGGTTGAGTATGAAGCAAGGTGGTCCACCCCGCCTTCAGATAGTTACGCTGCACAGTTGGAAAACAGTGACACTTAGGTGCAACGTCGACTCGAAATCGCAATTTCACAAATACCTCTAAACGAACTCAGAACCATATAATGAAAAATAACGGCAGTCAAAATGAGTGTATGCAACTAGATAGAAGGATCACGGCCTC